GATTTTTTATATTTAAAATAAGATGTTTATCCTGTATTTGATTGTGTTTATCTGCAGTTAGTTACACAGATTCAGTTATGGGATGAAATCGGATAGGGATGAACGGGTTTAAGAGTTTTAAGAGTTTAAGAGTTTTTAAGAGTTTTAGCCAAATGCATTATAATATAGTATAGATTAAGAGTTTTTAAGAGTTTTAGCCAAATGCATTATAATATAGTATAGATTAGAATGGTTTAACTTATTCAAAAACTTCTTATTACCGGTTTGACACCGATATAAACTGTTTATCCAAACACTCAAAAGTGCATATTACTGGTGCAATATTGGAATAAGTCAATAAGTTATTTTTACAAGCAATCTCAAACACCCTCTAAATATTAGATTACTTGTTAAAAATAAATTTTTTTATTGATGATTTAATAATTAAATAAAATAAATAAGAAAAACTTTAATTCAGTGTAGAAGATGATTTGATTACTGATATTCTAAAGTAAAATTTCAGTACAATTCTAACCATCTAAACTTAGATTAGTTTATTAACCATTTTCTATTATAAACCAAGAGAATTCTACTCTTTTAGTAAACTTTATCCCTAAAGTTTATCATTTTCAATAGATATTGTTTCTAAACTTTAAAAACTTAGATTTGATCGCTTATATTTGTTAAATTCGAACAGATTTCGTCCCTTTCACCAACCTTTTTCGTTACATCCAGTTTAATTAGTTTGGTCATTCTATGTATTTTCTATTAAAAATTAAAAAACAAATTTACATATTATTTATACTATATTGTTAAGCACGCTAAATGGTTATTGTTGAAGATTAAAAAGCAGAGACCTATATGTTCAATATACAGTTATTTAAAGCACCATATAAATCATCTTCATTCCAAACCCTCCTTTTCCGCTTCTTCAGCCAGCTTCTTCCCCCACCCTCCGCCAACAGCTGCACACACTCCCTAAATTTTCTCTCCACATCTTTCCACTCTCTTTCGCTAGTTCTTTTGATACATGCGCAGGTCGAGAAGCAATCCAACAATTTCACATCAAAATGTTAGAAGCAAAGAACAGACGGTCGTTCAGCTGCAAGGGTTGCCACTGATGACCTCAAGGATGTCAGTCCATTGGAGAGGGCGAAAGAATGCGACAACGAACCAAAGTTTTTGCAACCACACTCTTTGTGATCCCGTAAATCAAGTCTAATTAGCAATTCAATCAAAAGATCAACAATATAATGGTTAAAATGAATCTGTCGGCATGTATTTCAAAAACTGTGAAAACTGTGTTCTTGATTACAATAAGCTCTCTCTCTCTCTCTCTCTCTCTCTCTCTCTCAATTGTACGTATTCTGTCAAAAGATTCTAACCAACTCTCAAGATTACAAGCAACAATTAACTAGCAGCTTCCTAAAACAAGAAATAAAACCAACCTTACTATAAAAGGAAATAACAACTAACTATAACAAAGCATTTAAAACAGTTTTAGCACCAGGACTTGAATACAATATTTTTGTTCCAACAATCTCCCCCTTTGTATTCAAGTCTAAAACAACAACTTCGTCAGATCTTATGGCAATGATCTTCAGAATTGATTCAACAAACTTTAAATCTTCAAGATTTGATCTTTAAAGCTTCGACAATTTTCCTCTTTTAACAATCTTCCCTTTTTATCAACAAGCTTCATACAATATCCTCCAAATGATTATCTTCAGAAAAATCTTATCTTCCCTGAGCTTTACACAAACTCTCTTTTTCAACAATTGAATAATCTTCATATTCACTCCCCTCTTGAACATTGCAGCACAATAATCTTCAGCAATTATCTATCAACTCCTTTCAAACTTGAAGGGGTGATATATATCATTCTTTTTCAATGTCAGTTATCTCCAAATGAGAAAAATTGATAGATAATGAGTTGCGTGCCCTTAAGTGTTAATAAAACACTTATCTCTTGAGAGATAAATGAGTAACTGGTGTGGTTTTTAATAAGAGTTGGTCTGGGCTTTGCTTTTTTCAATATTAGTCTCGAAAGAATTGAGAACTAATAGATTATGTGGTTTGCCCGAATTATAGTGGATAGAACAGGAGTTTGATATTCTTTTAATCCTGGTCACAACTCTCATCTATTCTTTTAGCTCACACTAACTACCCCTCTCATTTATATTTTAAGCTTTGCACACAAATCCATTTTGCATTTAAGCTCACTCAGATATGGTTGTCCTCTTGGGTAGGGCTGTCGGTTCTAACAGTCCATAGATGTATTTTTGTTAAGCTCTCAGTCCCTCCTAATATAACAATGTAAGTTCATGATCATTTGAGATTGATCAAAACTAATATTGCAATTAAGCACATTTGACCCAATGAAATTGATCAAGAAAAATATTGCAATTAATCACATAAACAATTAATCAGGAGTGATATATAAAACATATTATTCAGAAAAATAG